AATTCCAAAAATCCAGAAATTCACAAATTCCGAAATTTCAGAAATCCCAGAAATCTATAAATTCATAAATTCCGAAAATTAATACAGTCGAAAAGTTCATAAATTCTAACAGATCAGAAATTTCAATAGTTCATAAATTTCGAAAAAGCCGACGTTAAACTCAACTTTTATCAAGAACGGATGCGTTGTTCGTGAGTTATAAGCAAAAATTGTAAATTGTTTGTCTACAAGGTGTACGAAAACGGTATTTTTTGGAAAAAAGACCCGTTTTCGACCCAAAAGAAAAAATGAAAACCTAAACTTTTTTTTCAGCAATTGTAAAGCGACATCAAATCTATCTCTGAGTCACTTTAGCATTAGTCGTTACAGTAAATAGCCTTAGAAAAAAGGATGACAATGTCCGTCTACAGAAAATAAGAAAAGTGTGCATAAAATTATTTTCGAGACGTGTGACCAGAAAAAAGTAAAATATGATTGAATTGAAGGTGAATTGAACGCCCTGCAAAACGTGCTATTTTTTTCATTTTTCGTTCTTTCTTTCCTCAAAAAAATGAACCTTTTTAAAGTAGAACTAAATCATTAAAATAACCAATTTACCGAGTACGTACGCAGCCGTGAGTGAGAGAATAGGGATACATAAAATCCTTTCTATTTACTGTCGCACAGTTGCAATCTTTCTCCATTCACTTTGGGTATCAAAAATGGTTCTTTTTTCTCATGAAATACACCAAATCTAGGGGCTTTCTCAGTGTATAGACTTAGTTAATGTTTCCTGTGAAAAGGTCTCAAAATAAAACTGCACAGAAGTGAGAAATGCATGAAAGGCTGATGTTATAACAATAGTGAGTATCCTCGGCGTAATGTCGCTTTGTTGTTTAATAACTCTCTGGATGTAGCGATTATCAATTCAGTTCTGTTTGACGCACGGAGGGTTGGGGCTCAGCCATTCCGCCTCATTTGCAGAATATTAGATTGGTTCTAATAACGAACTGATCCTAGCGATAATATCTATGGATATACATTCTATGAAAGTCCAAGCGTGAATGTTTTCTTAACATACGACAAAAGTTACCTTACGGTAACACTTACAGGTGAACTAGAAAAAGTTTAACCGATCTCACGTTTATTCCGAGATCAACTGCCAGATGGCAAACCATAAGGGAGAAATACACGTAAGAAAATCATTAATATGGTGCTTATGACAAGTAGAAAGGATCTAAACACGAAGAGCGCTTTTTTCGGAGAAAAAAATCATTTCACACGCCTCTTCCGACGTCTTGTAGGCTTGCGGCGCCAATGTCCGTTCGCGATCAGCTTAGTAATGTTCAGAATAAAATAGCTGATGGTCTTATATTATTTAACATGAGCGCTTTCTCTTTATATCACGTAATCTCACGAGTGAAGGTCCTCAAGTGTTATTGTCACTTCTCAATGGGACATATCCCAGTTTGTAGAACTCGACGAGCTGATTGCGATGGCATAAAACATTTTTCCACACAGCTCTTGAAGACCCGGTTTTCTGTAAAAGCAGTTTTTCAAGAACTCTAGAAAATAACCAAAACTTTTCTTCACAAAACATAATTGTGGCACGCAAATTTCTGATTAAAATGAGACATCTCCGAGCTCTATACGACCTTTCTTTGCGAAGTTATAGAATTTACAACAAAAAGCCTAAATGTCCATTCTCTGCTCAAAGCTACAGAAATAAGAAATTAATTCAGGGCTTTTCTTGTAAATTCTATAACTTTGCAACGAAAGAATGTCAGTAAATACTCTATGTTATCTGCAGCATATCATAAAGCCCAACAAATGTTGAAAAAAATCAACAGAAAATACTTCAGTTTCTAAGAAGGTTTCCTAGAAATCTTCGAAACTAAGAGAATATTTTTATTGATTTTATGTACAGAATCAGAATGAGCGGATAACATAGAGCATTTGCTGACATTCTGAAGTAGATTATGAATTTTTTAATTTACAAACCGATTCATTCGGTGTCTTACAGTTTGGACTATATATGCCCTCAAAAAGATCAATAGATTCTTATTTGCATTTCGGAAAATCCAAGCTGATTTTCCAAAGATCCTTTGGAAATCCATCTTCGAAAAATTTTCCAAAAATCAATTTTGCTTGTAGAAAGATCGCCTCAAGTCTTGGCTATCGAATGCTGAAAATCGCAAGCCTCTATCTTTATTTGGTGCTGAGTATTTGGTGCTTATCCAAAAAATAACCACTGCTCTGGAATTTCGGCTCCGATGGTAGGGAAGAGTTTTATTGCGAAAATGTTTCCAGGGGCACTGAAGAGCATTTTAAGGTCTAAAAATAGCTTCGGATTAATCAAGCGCAAAAACCGCAGCCGATCGCTTGAGATAAGACTGAGCTCTGAGGGATCGATTTTGGCTCTTATCATCCACCGTCCTATCATTTAATTGTATGAGAGTAATACACGTTATTAAGGGCTCCCTCAGATGTGATTTTCTGTCAAAAAATTGGTTTTCAGATAAGTACATGGATAGGTAGCCTGAAGTGTCTACTTTCAGAATCTGTATCGCTTTTGGTTGAAAAAGGTGAAAAAGTGTACAAGAGCAATAGTGTTGAAGTGTGAGGGTTTTAAAGTGTGCGAGTATAAGATTCTTAAAGTACAATAGGCAAGCCTACAAATGAAAAAATTTAAGAGCGTTAAAGTGTAAAAAGAAAAAAGAAAACCTTAAGTTATGTGTAAGCAGATAGGTGTATCGACATCCACATACTTAACCGGAAATATACAAAAATGCGGACGAAACTCCACCCTTTGCCGTGTACAGCTGTGCGTCGAAGAAATCAGCTGAAGAAGAACACTCGGCGACGGTGATTTCAGGATGATGCCGAAGAAACAGCAACTTCTCCTGGAAAAAAGCTGGAATTTTCGTGAAGAGACACCAAGTTCTGGTGGCAAAAGAGATGAAGTCCTCCACGAGAACTTCCTTTTTCTTCACGAGAACTTGGTATTTTTTCACGAGAGCTTCGCCTTTTTTCGCCCAGTACTTGGTGTTTCTTTACGAGAACTTCATATTCTTTTCACCAGAACTTGATGCTTCTGCAGGAGAACTTCATCTCTTTTGCCACCAGAACTTGGTGTCTCTTCACGAGAATTCCAGCTTTTTTCCACGAGAACCTGCTGTTTCTTCACGAGAACTTCAGCTTTTTTCCATGTAATTTTCTATGTTTTTTCCTCAAGTACTGGGTGTCTCCTAACGAGAACCTGGTGTTTCTTCTCGAGGTCAGCTGCTTTTTTCCACGAAAACTTTCTGTTTCTTCACGAGAGCTTCACCTTTTTTCGCCCAGTATTGGTGCTTCTTCGCGAGAACTTCATATTCTTTTCACCAGAACTTGATGCTTCTGCAGGAGAACTTCGTGTCTTTTGCCACCTGAACTTGTGATCTCTTCCCGAGAACTCCAGCTTTTTTCCACGAGAATTTGGTGTTTATTATGGTGGCAAAAGACACGAAGTCCTGCTACAGAAACACCAAGTTCTGGTGGAAAGAATATAAAGTTCTCGTGAGGAAACGCGAATTTCTCGAGGGGAAAAGATTAAGTTCTTGAGGAACACCAAGTTCTGGTGAGACAAGAGATGAAGTTCTGCTGCAGAAGCATCAAGTTTTGTGCATCAACGATTGTGGGCTATTTTTTTCTTTTTTTTTGTTGGCCGGTTCTTTTTCTTCAATGTATAGTAATAAAGAAGTGATCACGGCACCAATGTAGGAGCCAACACCCTCTCTGATCAAATGTGATCAATAACACACTCTTGTTTTATCGGTTTTATTTCACTCTGAACAAAAACACAACTACACACTGATATACGATGGATGAAAAGTTCTATCGAATGTTAATTCTCTGAGCGATAACCGTATATATACGATCACGAACAATACAAAAAAAAGAAATGAATGAACAGTGGCGAAAAACTTGACGACAACAATGATATACATATTCAAACCGGTCGAGAATGGAAAGAAAGGAAAATAAATATGTATAGTGTCCACGCGAAGAATGGCGAAGGCAACGTGACAAACATGTGATGATATATATGAAAGGCCTAGCCTGTAATAATACCAAAAACCAATGTGTCGTTATGTGAGGGTTCGAGTTTTTCTACATTAATTTCGAAAAACGGTTGTTTAAGTTTTGTCTCTATTTTTTATTCCTTGATATAAGCAGCTCATCATTATACTAAAGGTATTTTGTGCGATAACTCACTCTCATGGCCCTTTTGTTATCTATTAGTATGATTTTATTTGACAATAGAAGGTACTTCTATTATCTTATTGCCAGTTTCAAAATATCATTTTGCTAACAGCACCTGTGTTTCACTGATAACTTCAAAGAGTTTTCTAGAAATCTGCGTAGTGCTGAAAAAATCCTAAATACGGCATTAGGGGTATTAATTTAGTTTTATTGTTCGTTTATAATAATAGATAAAATCATTCATAAATGAATCATTTATATTTAAGAAATAAAGATAAATGTAAATGGATCATTGATCTTTATTTTACCTTTATTTTTAAAAATAAAGGTAAAATAAAGGAATAAAGATAAATGAATCCTTTATCTTTATTTTATAAAAATAAATGACGAATTTATATTTATTTTCCAAAATTACACTAAATTAACGCCCCTATACGTCATTGCTTCCAAGTGTCGCAAATCATAGCTTAATAGACATCGATTTGTTTTGTGCTTTATGTTTGCAACAAACTTTTTTCCTTCGCAATATCACTATTGATAGAGTTGAAGAATGCTAAACAAACTGGTAGTTTAAACTAATAAACTATTTGTTTTCAAACACAAAACATTTTATTAGAAAAAACTGCGCCAGACTAGAATTTAAACGCGATAATGTTCTTCACTCCCATATACTTTTGTGTTCCATGCCAATATCATGTATGTGAGAAATCAAACAAACAGTGTTCGCATGCGTGAGAAGCTAAATGAATTAGAGTATAATGTCTATAAAAAATGTCTCTCTACACAGTCGTCGTTGCTTGAATCGCACTTGCGTAAAAACGCCGTGCTTGGAAAACGAGATAGATATTGATAAAAGCAAGAGAACTTCCTGTCACGTATGTCGGCGTGCACCAATAGTAAAGGCGGACAAGCAGCAATATTATCTTCATGATTAGTAGGCCCACACAGCAGAGAACACTATTCATTGTTGTTTTATTGATTATAGTATTCATTTCGAGTATCTCCAATGACATTCGATTACTACAACCGCAGAGAAATATGACGAGTCCAAAGCAGAGGATGATTGCCGAATCAGAGACGAATTGAAAAAATAGAGGAATGCCGTAGCTTAAGATGTAACATAGCAATATAATAAGAAAACATCCTCGACAAATGTGAGTATAGGTCCATCTGGAAAATATGAGATATCCGGCGATAATGAGAACCCAAAGTGTAGATATACCAATGATCGAAAACATGAGTATGAGAAAGGGGGCTTTAGTGAAATTGGCTGAAATAAATTTTAACATAATAAGAATGTGATAAAAATGACCGCATCCCTGTTCCCGTGCTCGTCGTACTGCATCGACTCCAGCCAGATTTGTTGGTAAACGTGACATTTGTCGTTGTTGTTCGAACAAGTTATCGGTGTCCATCATGGTTTGAATGAGTGCCTGTCTGTTGAGTAGTAACGTTATCTGATCGTTCGATGACGTTTGTAAAACTTGGAGTCGATTGGTTTGTTCGAATAACGCGTTGAATTTCAGTTGATAACACCCATGAAAATGGTCTCTGAAGAGAGGCTTTTCTATGTAACCTCCGCAAATGGTGCATTTGATCGGACGAGGAACACATAAGCCCGATATCTCACGATGTTCATTGAATTTCGTTAGAAGTACCAGTTGTTCACATTCAGAGCATCGTTGAGTAAAATATTCACATTCAAAATTTTCATGTTGTTCGAGGGAATTGTAGGGCAGAACTCGTGTACATCCGAATGGACAATTTTGGCATTGAATGTTTAAACGGGCTAACAAAGAATGAAAATATGGTGGACAACGTCGATCTTCGTATGGTTCACATCGAAATGGACATTTATTATCACTATTTTCATTTTCGAGCCACGCACGAATACATTTTTGACAAAACAGATGCTGACAGGAAGCACATGAACGCGGGTTCCACAGAAGACATCGACAGATCGGACAGAAATACTCATCAGGCACGAGATGACCATCAACAATGCGATCTCGATCAATACCGCCTTCTTCCGTTGATGAAATTGATTGGCGAACCGCCACTATTTGACTGTTAGCCATTAGTGTTGCTCAACAAAATGCCTGTCACTAAACGACAGGTAGAAGAAAAATACTTTTCTCGAGACGTGTCTGATTCTCTTTTTGTTTGCTTCTCCTTGAGTGTGAGAGAGGAAGTTGAAAAGTGACACGCGTAGTCAGAGAGATTTGCTACACCTTTTAATGCTCTTCGCCAGCGTCGTTAGATTATTAGTCATTCTCGGTGAACGAAGAAAAAAGGCAGATTGCAAATTTTCCCTTGGAAAAAGCCTGCATGTAACAGAATTGGAAAAAAAATGACATTTGTTTTTTCCTTCTATCCTGTAGAGTATAATATACAGGGATTCAATAGTTTATAATGTATTATAACTGATCGATCAAAATACTCTATGGATCTACGAGAATTTCGAAAATGAATTGCTGAAAGTAATCAGCTAAATGTTCAGTTCGTGATCAAGATGATATGGTGCGAATTGAAGTTCTTTCTACATCACTTCACTTAGAAATCGATTTTTTGTTTTAGGCGATCTTCAAGCAAGAGGTCGATCACTTACATGTCATTGTAATTCACTCTTTTCCTCAGTATTTGTCTTGGAAGAAGAATGAGTATTCATACAGATGTTGCAAACTCTCGATCTTTAGTTAAAATCCATAAATAACATTTGAGGATACCGTTCAATAAGTATTATCGTAGAATAAATCACATGTATCAATATTAAAAACAGATTGGCAAGAGGCTGAGAAAAGCCATTTAGCAAGGATCTGAATAAAATAAGGAAAATACGCTCATTTAGATCATGTAGTTTTTCTATGTTTTTGAAAAGTTTCTTCGTACTTTTAAAAGTCTTTAAGGGCACTTCGTGAAGTGCTTCACTTTTCAGGTTCTCATAAAACTGTTAAACTAACGAGGATGCATTGCTTACTGATCCTGTTTGAGTGAAACATTGGTTTTTAGAGACTTATTTAGACGCCGAAGACAAATCTGCTATTGTCTTGAACCACATGGATTTAGAGATATGTCTTTAGACTGTTTACAGACCCATAAAAAACTTTCGAACGAACACTGCAAAAAAAAGTGGGTCACCTGTAAGTAAAATCGTCTCACAAGGGGACCTCGCGGACTGTCACATCGCTTTTTCCGCTAAATCTAGTGGGTTTTAGGTTATCAGCTATGCTGAATCCCAATATCATAGTGGTAGCTGATCTGAGGCCTCCAGCGAGCGGTTTTGTGTAGAACTAGTTTTTCAGAAACTCTAAAAAGCAACCAAAACCTTTTTTCAATGAGACATAATTGTAGATTTTTGCAGTTTAGATATTTTTTTGAGTTTCTGAAAAACTGGTTCTGCAGAAAACCACTCTCTCTGGATCCCGGTGCAACCACCATTATGATATTCGGATTCAGCATAGCTGATAACCTATAACCCACTAGGTTTAGCTGAAAGAGCGATGTGAAAGTTCGGGAGGTACTCTCGTCATTAGATAAAACGGATCCATTTAGATTCACCCACAGATAAATGACTATTTAGTTGTATAGAACAACCTCACGAGTACACAATAAAAATAAGATGTCCATTTTCCGGAAGAACTTGCTCGATGATTCTGAAAAGTTTTCCATAGTGTTGCCCATGGAGAAATTTTATCGACTTTTCACGCGTGAAGGACCGTGAAATGTCACCTTGGATTTTCACGAAATTTTGTAGGTAAAGACAGCAAGTTTACGACAGTTTGGTCGTGTTGTTGCAACATCACACGCCTGGCTACGCGCGAAAAATCTTCACACGTGTACACAAGTGAACAATCTTCACGCGTGACTACGTGTGAAAAAATCTTGACCATGCCGACCATCTATAGTTAACTGACTATACATGGTCACTATGGTCGAGGTATAATGCAGACTTCATCTATAACTTTTTCCACGTGTGACCACTAGTTTCTAAAATATCACATTTTATATATATCACCGCAAAGTAAGAGTCGAACCAGGGTACTTTGAGTTAGAAATCTACGATACTACTATTGAGCTAACTTGCCTGAGAAACTACTGGATAAATCTCATATTCATAGTTGTCGAATCAATCCTCACGAGTTACCACGTGTAAAAAAGTTTCCACGCGTGATTACTCGTGAACTTCCTAAATCTTTTTTCTTAGTTTTCAACTTTTCCAAACTTTTTTAGTTAATACTTCCTTCGGGGGAACAAGCTGATTCCCAGGCATATTCCCACAGCAAATACCTTCGATCTACAGCAAAGGTTTTCATCTGTATGTATGTACAACTTTCGGAAGATATAGGAGAAATTTGTATTTATGCTTGCCGCCCAATCTTCACGACATTTCGCACCTGTAAAAGGTTTCTCACGTGGACGCTCGTGAAACGTAAGAATTTTGTCGCTTGGAGTTAAGCGTGAATATTATTCACGAAATGGGTTGCGTGAAAAACTGACATGCGAATAAATGTGAAGATATTTTTCACAATGAAATTGGTGGGAAACATTTTCACGCGTGTCCGCAAGTGATATTTTTTTACGGAAATTTTAACATGAGAAATTCACGTGTGGCTACTACACACTTCACGGCTTTCACCTTTGATCACGTGCAAAAAATATGACGCGAAACGTTTTCGTGATCAGTTCACCCGTTGTCACAAGTGGAATATATTTTTCACGCGTGCTCACACACCATTTTACGATGTTCATGTGCGACCACAATTCATTTCATGATATTCACGCGTGTACACACCGTGGTACCTACTAAAATCTCCCCGTGGGTGGTTCGATAAGCTCTGTAATCTTGCTACATTTTAATCTCTTCGTTCGAAGGTTTGCAATAGGTCTTAAAAAAACAATTGTCGGAGTTTCCTATTGAAAAGTCATTTAGTATGAAATGAGTATTAGATGTGTCGTTGGTCTCAAAATAAGCTCGTACAGTCGAACCGACCATCTGCTAGCGTTTTTTCGTAGGTTGCCGGTCATTTTTATTTCCATTTGTAGAACGGCTCAATCGAACAAACTTCGTACTGGTTTATGTGACTTTTGTTAATCAGACTGTGTCCTGTAGTGATTTCAAACAGCCAGTTGTTCAAATCAATAAACACAGAAGAAAACGAATTAACAAAAGAGGAGTATCTGATTGTACTTCATCGAGAGATTAAGAAAGCTTACGGACATGGGGAGGTCCATTCTCCTGAGGATATAAATACAGCCTTCGCCATATATGGCACTTCAAAACAAAGTAACCATCTGTTACTCAAACAGTATTCTCACTATTATAACTTGTTTGAATGTACAGAAATAATGGAACGAAACCTATACAAGAATAAAATGGAAAATAGTGACAAAAATAAAGAAAAAACTTAATGAGTCTGTAACAATCAATATCTATAGTCAAAGTCAAGTAAATCTCGTCCAGGTATTGGGATTTTTATGACACAAAATTATAAATATTTCATTGTAAAATCTATTTATAGGATAGTACTGGATTCATCCGGCGGGGGATATTTTTCGTGATATCGACCATGGAGATTTTATGATGCAGCGAATGACGGAAGAACTCAATTTTGTTGTTGTCTTGGTTAACTATCAACTGTGATCGGCCAAAGTCAGTTTTTTCAACTTACATACGGCTTGTCCAGCTAACGGTCTCCATTTTTTACTCTTTTCCAAAAAGTTATTGCAATAAAGCCACAAACTAATCTAAAATTGCAACTAGGTAATTAAGTAGATTAAACATTTCTCTACAAAACACTAAAAACCGATTTTGGGGCTAACTAAAAAGCGTGCCTAAAAGAGTGAAGACGAAGTGGCAGAAGATGAACAAGTATACCACTTTGTAGAAAATTGTTTGCTCTACCAGATGTGATAGCTTGTCAAATTCGAAACTATTCTAAATAATCTGTATTAATCAAAGAAAAACCATGACGCCGTGACACTTTTAACCGTTTTTTATCATAGCGTCACGGTTAAAAACGGTCAAAAGTGTCACGGCATCATGGTTTTTCTTTGAGTAATACAGATTATTTAGAATAGTTTCGAATTTGACAAGCTATCACATCTGGTAGAGCAAACAATTTTCTACAAAGTGGTATACTTGTTCAACTTCTGCCACCTCGTCTTCACTCTTTTAGATACGCTTTTTAGTTAGTCCCAAAATCGGTTTTTAGTGTTTTGTAGAGAAATGTTTAATCTACTTAATTACCTAGTTGCAATTTTAGATCAGTTTGTGGCTTTATTGCAATAACTTTTTTTATCAATAAAAGTCAGTTAGCAAGTAGAGGTGTAAGTGCGGATGGAGATCTTGCAGGTGAAAATCAATCATTTCGCCAATATTTATTCTATCTAATGCTAAATAGGATTTTTAGCTTGTTGTGCTTTAAAGGCTCGTGGTGAAAGAAATGATAAAGAAGATAAAAATCCGATCGAAATTAATTTTCAGTGACTTACTCACCCAGTGTCAGATGATCGACCAACCTAGAAATTATAGCAAAGAAAGTCATCTATATGCTGTAGCATTTCCAGCGGAAGATCTTAATAGAAAACCTTTATTAGAGTCGGATCTGCTGAGACGAAAACATTTTCTCAAAGATCATTAGTTAGCGCATTTGTTTGTATTTTCGTTTCCGTTGTATTCTGTGACTTTAGATTACCAGAGGCTAATGTTGTTGAACTCGATGTTTACCCTGCTGTTACGCACGGTGTGGATAATTATCGAATTGACAATCCTTTCGATAGACTTGCTGAAGAAGTTCGAGAAGTCAATTCGAACGCTTAGAAAGAGCTTTTAGACAATAGGAGAATCTCTGTAATCAAAAGTTGTTTTTTCATTATCGTTTTCCAATCAATAAAACGCTATGAATGAATGATTTTTTCGTCATTGCGTAGAGCTAATTCAAAGCCTCATTTACACTTACTTTCAAGTTTTCAGTGAGATTTTGTAAAAACGATTCCAAATTTTCTTTACAAATGAAACATAAACTCACTCATTACAATGAAGAACAACTAATAATCGTAATTAGAACTATAACTAACT